GTTCTTAAATCCATTTCCATTTTCAACAACACTGGGCAGTTAAAAGAACTAAAGTGTCAACTTAACTTACAAAAGAAGGAAGCCAGGAAAACAAAATAGTAGACAATAGACAAAGTTCAGTTTGATAGCTTCATACTACTATATCTTTAAAGATCTCGTAGCAATTTCAGGAGCAAATGTGCTGCCCTGCCTGGCTTATTAATTACCAATCACTGTGACTCACAATTAAGATTACTCACATTATGATTGCGTAGACCTCTAGTTGCCATACCTGTAAATTTACATTTACATTAAAATAACTAACACTTCAACAATAACAACAAAATCAATCTTTCCAACTCTCTATGCATGCCTTACTAAGACTGCTAACTTTGTCAAGAAAACAAATACAGTTTTCTGAATCACAATAGCCCCTGAAAATGTAAACAAAGAGTACAAAAATTCAAGGCAAAGTCTGTTAAATTTCCTTGATAACATAGAAAAATGATAATTTATAAGGTTGATTTATCTCTGAGATCAAACTTTTTCTACAAAGGTCCAGAGAGTAAATAAGTTTATCAGGCCATAGGTCCTGTTTAAACTCTGATGTTATATTGTGAATACAGCCTGACAATACTTAAATGAATGGATGTGGCTGCATTCCAGCAGAGTTTATTTACTAAAACAGGTAATGGATAGGATTGGCGCCACAGGGAGCATTTTCCTGGTATCTACTTTAAACCAATGTTGATCTTCTTCAAACAGGAATATATTACACTAGCTGCAAACATAATTGAGCAAATATGATAACAGTGAAGGGACAAGTGATAATTTCATACCACTTTGCAGAAATCAATATTCTCATAATTAATCACTAACTCTTTATATAAGCTCTTATGAGTACATATCTTTATGTTTTTATACTAAGGACTGAATCCAGAGGTGATTTCCCACTGAGCCACATCCCCAGACCTTTTGGGGGTTTTAAATTTTTTATATATTTATTTTTTAGTTATAGTTGGACACAATATCTTTATTTTATTTATTTATTTTTATGTAGTGCTGAGGATCAAACCCAATACCACACAAGTTCTAGGCAAGCACTCTACCACTAAGCTACAACCCCAGCTCTAAAATTTATTTTAAAAACAATTAAAATGAATGCTAAGTGCAACTGTAAAAGGAAAATATAGAGTTTGACCAGCCAGATTCAATAATCTTTTATTCATTATTCTAATAACAATGAGAAAAGCTCACCAACACATGGTTATGATTTATGATTACTCAAAATGCAAAAGTAGACCTTCAAAGTATGTTTAACTGAGAACACAAAAAATTTGTTCCTTGGGTTACTTATCAAAATCTTTGATGAGAAAACTTAGTTTTGCCAAAATACTTTTAATTTAGAAAGTGAAACCAAAAACCTTCTTGACACATCATGTGTCTGTTTATTTTAAAATACATTTTTTATGTTGTATGTGACAGCCTGGTGAAGTAGATGTCATATGTTTAAGGTACAAAAGGATGGGAGCCATTTTAATAAAGTAAAAGCATTTGTGACTATTCACATACTAAATTCAAGACCACTTTTAAACAAAATATATTTGAGCTCTATGATTACTGAAAGAGAAAATGCTCACATTGCTCACAGGAATAATTGATATTATACAGAGGGAAATAAAATTAAATAAGAAAAGTATGTAAGATCCCTTGACACCAAAAACTTAGTCCATAAAAGGAAAAATTAATAAACTGGACCTCATCCAAACTTAAGCCTTTGTTCTGGAAATATCTCTGTGAAGAGGTTGGAAAGACAAGCTACAAATTAAAAGAATATACTTTCAAACCACATATCTAAAGGATTAGTATTAAAATATATAAAGAACTCTCAAAACTCAACAGTTAAAAATGCAAATAGAAAATGAACAAAATGCATGAACGGACATTTCACTAAAGGGGACCTAGAGATGGCAAATGTGCAAGTGAAAAGATATTCAACATGATTAGCTATTCAAAAATCACAAACTAAAATTATGGGAAGATATTTTATAAACCCGTTGGAATGGCTAACTTAAAAAACAGTGACAATGCCAAATGCTGGCAAGGATGAGGAACACTCATACATTGTTAATGAGGATGTAAAAAAATCATACAGCCACTGTAGAAAAGTTTGACAGTTCCTTAGAAAACTAAATATGTAACTATCAAACAACCCAGCAATTGTTCTTTTGGGCAATTAAACCAAAGAAAGGAAAATTAATGGTCACAGAAAAATATGTATGTAGTATTTCATAGGATCTTTATTTATAATAGCCACACCCCAAAAAAAATAAGACCCCAGAAACAGCAGATATCTTTTGAGAAGAGAATGATTATAAACACACATCAGTACTAGGGAATACTACTCAGCAATGAAAGGAACACAATATTGATAAAGGATACATTCTCTACATGAATCTCCAGGAAATTATGCCATTTTACAAATGGTTACATACTGTGTGATTCCATTTATTCAGCATTCTTAAAATGACAAGACAACAAATGTGGAAAACAGATCAATGATTCCCAAGTGGCCAGGGAGGTAGGGAGATGTCTGTAGTTTGCCTCTGGTGATCATACCAATCTACAAAAGAGTTCATGTTAAAACTGGTGAAATCAGCTAGGCTCAGTGACACACACCTGTAATCCCAGAGGCTGAGACTGGAGGATTGCAAGTTCCAGGCCAACCTGGGCAACTTAGTGAGACCTTGTCTCAAAATAAATAAATAAAATAAAGAGGGCTGTGAACTCAATGGTATAGCATCCCTGGGTTCAATCCCCAATACCACCACCAAAAAAAACAAAAACAAAACCAAAAAACCCACTGGTGAAATCTGAATAAAATGGTCAGACTGTATCTATTTCAATTTCTTGGTTGTGATGTTATAATATAGTTATGCATGATGTTACCATTATATATATTATATGTATCCCCAATGGTAACATCATGCATAACTATATTATATATATGAGACAATCTACAACTATGTCAAAATTCAAAGTCAAGAAAAAAAGAATATGTAAGACAAGTCTTTTTTGCTAAGGGCTCAGCAATTGAAAGTCAATGAAGGAAACAAAAGTAATTCTGAATAGTCTATAGGCTATAGTTAATATAATCATCTCCTCCCTTATGGAACCTTAACTTCCCCCAGGATTTTGTTTTTGTCTCTGGTTTGGTTCTTGTGTTTTGTTGTTGCTTGTGGTACTGGAGATCAAACCCAGGGCCTCACACATGCTAGGCAAGTGCTCTACCACTGAGCTATATCCTTAGCCCTCGCTGCCACTTTCAATAACAATTAAACGCACATACATCTGTCTTTTCACAACCCCACCACGATCCCAGACTACATACTAAAAAGTAGAGGCTGTCTTCATAACCATAGTATTTTGAGAGCCTGGCACAAAATAAGTGACAGATGAGGGAACAAGCTAATTGAGTGAATAAACACAATGAATGAGATGTTTGCATATTCTTTTAAAGTTCTTAGCCAATAACAATTATAAGGCAGTATGTATACATTTCCTTACAAATTTCTAAAAGCAATGGAAGATTAAAAACCAGTGTGGTATGTGTGTGTGTGTGTGTGTGTGTGTATGTATGTATGTATATATTTCTTTCATTTACAAACAGAAGTTAACAATATGTCTGACTTTTGTAAAATGCTTCCCAATTTATAGACTTCCACATATAGTAAGGAAGTCACTAAGTTACAATGAATTAGGAATTAAGTATATTTTAATTGAAGCTAGCATATGCAGACCTTTGAGGAAAACATTCTAAATAGCAAATGATATATCAGGATTTATGACAAAGTCTCAATGTAAAGTGCATCACACACACACACACACACATATTCATCATATCTGTTGAGTATGAGTACAGAATTCAAATTGAGGAACTTCCAGATTATTCTACCAACTGTCTGAAGACACTTTAAAATGTGAAAACCAAGAAAGGTAAAATGACTTGTTCAAGGTTACTATAAGTAGAGCTGGAACTAGTACCTGAGCCTCTCCAGAGTCCCAACTCATTTTCTTCTCACTGAATTGGGCAAGATTCTTTGTCCAGCCATCTCATCTCTGACCCAAACACTCAAACAAAAACTTAAACTGAATCATTTGTGTTTTTTTTTCAAATAGGGGTTTTCCAAAACACACAGAGACACACACACATACACAAAAGTGAATGTACTCAAAGTTAATTGTTGCATTACACTTTCCATGGATTTTTTTAGGTGTCAAATTACTTATGGTCTGATAAGGCACTCTAGTCTAAGATGGAAGTGTACTGACATTTCAATGTTTCATCTGCCACCTAAATGGCAGAGAGTGTTAATTGTAACAGGAATCTCACATGTCTCAGCTTTTAACTCAACTGAAAAGATGAGTTATTTTACAATTTAAGGAACAGACCTTACACCATTAAAATCTTGATTGGTATGCTTATTGGCAGTACACTTGCTGTGTTATATCTCAAGAACATTTAATACTGTTGTTAGAAGCAAAATAAAAGAAAAACTCAAGTTACAAACAATGATGGAAAAGTTTTCTCAGGTTAAATCTCCGTTATGCAGCAACATGTTAATAAGCACTAATTTAGAGGTACAAGAATAAAAACACTAGAAGGAAACTTAGTTATGGTCTACACCAACATCCTTATTTTTGCAGAAAAGGAAACTGAGCAGTTGATTAAACAATTAACCAACAAATCAAACTGCTTAGTTTTTCAATGGGGTTCATTTCAGTGTTATTTTACACTTATTCTGCATTTCACCATCATTTCTCAGAGTGAGGATGAACTTTTTTTAAGGGTGAAAAATAGCGAATAAAACAAGTTAATTTCAAGAGGGTGAAAAAAAATGCCATTGAAGGAGGAGATGCTGGAGTAAAAAGAGAAATGACGTCTTATTTCAAATATGTAACCGCTTGATGGGTTTAGGCAATGAATCATATTCTCCTAGGTTTTTCTGTATCTATAGACTTCAGCCACAGTTCTTTTGGGTACTCAAATGAGAGGAAGAGGAAGTGAATAAAGCTAATACTAAATACACAGCAGCAAGTGAAGGCAGGGATGTAGATATAAAGGACGGGGTTGGGGGTGGGGGAAAGCATGCTTTTGCTGGAATCCATCTGTTTTCTAGCATCACCTTTTAAAGGTATGGATGTTAACAGGATATAGGCATCTCTCAAATTCGAGAGGGCGGATGCTTCTGTAGCCAGAAGGACCCCTGGCTCTCAGAGAGTGACTGGGAGGGGACAAAATGGAGGTGAGGTCTAGGGGCGCCCTAAAGGTCGTTTGGAGGTCTAGCAAGCATTTGATGTGCTCCTCTCAAAAGGGTCTTGGCAAAGACTCATACTCCTATCAGGACGATGACTTTTGGCCTTGGGTCACGATAAGCGGCAAAAAGAGGCAAGCCAATTCGCGAGGACCCCAACCTCTACCAAAGGAGAAGATAGTGACCTCAGGAATCTTCCTGGCCTCAGGAGAGGCAAGAGGGTAGATTGGCCGGGCTCAGGAAGAAAGCGAGCGGATTCGGGGAAAAGGAATATCCACCTAGCCTCCTCCTGGCTCAGGTAAGCTATGCTAACCCCCAGGCAGCTGGAGCCCAGACACCAAAAGGCAGGAGTGCCGGGGCCACAGCCTTGTTATCAGGGGTTACTCACCCAAGGCGCAGCCTTCCACGTCTTCGCTGCCGGCCGGCGCCTAGCCCTCGGGAAGCTCACGAAAGGGAGCCGCGTGCCCGCGAGCACTAAGGCAAGGAGGGGCGCGCCGCGGAGGCCAGAGAAAAAGCCGCAGCAGCGGCGCGCGCACCCAGACAGCCGGCGGGGGCGGGGCGCGGCGCGAGCCCGGAAAAGACGCGCCCGGAGGGGCGGGAGGAGCGGGGGCACGCGGTGGTGTGGCTGAGCCGGCCGAATCGCAGGCGGCAGACGGCTCGGCCCACCCACATGCCCGCCCCCACTCGCCCGGGACGTCAGCCGAAAAGGCGGAGCAGAGCGGGCTCCAGCTGTAAAGGAAGGGTGCTGAGGGGGCGCGGAGGCGGCTAACGGCTCCTTGCGGGTTGCCGCTGCTCTCTGACTTGGTGGCAGTGCTGTCGAGTGTGTTTCCAAAGAGCCTTGTGCGTAATTGCGGAGAGATGCAGAACCGGCCAACGCCCACACCTGCTTCGGCGGGACTCCACCCCAGGTTGACAGTTCCCTTGAGGTTGTTTGCCAGATTCCCTTTAAAGAGACTTATCTTTGGATTTCATTGCTCTTCCTTTACAGAGAGATCTTAACACTCTGACTGAAGGCATTCCTTCTTCTGGAAGCCTGAGCTAATGTTCTCATCCGTTTATCTTGCCTCTCACTGCGTCAAGATCCCCACTCCCGCCCGCTAATGAAATAATCACAACGATGCAGGGTTTTCACGTTACGCCTTCCTTTTCCACGACCATGTAATGGCAAAAGAACTCAGAACTGATAAGAAAAAGTCACTGCAGCACTGTGACATCTTAATGGCCCTAGTCGTTGTGAATAAGCCAATCCTACAAACGCCTTTCCCAAGAGATTCAAGAAATTATACTGGTAAAAATAAAATTCCAGTGAACTGTCTCAGGACTTAAAAAGGGACAGACGAAACTACAAATGAGCCAGGACAAACTGCCAAGAATATATCACCAAACGAAATAAATGTCAAGTATTCTTCCAGTTCCCTGGTGCATAATGGTGGACTAGCTTCCTCTTCCTGCTGATAATGGGCATTTCACTTTGCTTGCTATTTTCCATTTCCCCATAGAATTACCAGATATGCCTCACCCTCTCAAATTACAAACTACAATACTTCTTAAAAGTGCGCATCAAAACCATCTGGAGCTCTTGTTCGAATATGGGTACCTATATAACCCCTATATGTTTTGATCAGGATTTAAATGAGACTAAACATTTTGAGTTTTTAATAAGCATCCCAGGTGACAAATCGGGGGCTAGTTGAGAGTACAGAGCTACAGTTTTTGTGTGTTACTGCTCTAAAGCCATAGTACGCATTTAATTTCCAACTGACCTGGTCACTTAAACCTAATTTGCCTATAAATTTTGCTGAGGCAGTCATGCAGTTTCCTTATTCAAGATTGACCTAGAAAGTTTAGGACTTCAAACAACAGGTTTAATTGTCATCTTTAATTTTATGAGATCTTGTTATTAATCCCAGAAATAGGTAATCGTTTCTCAGGGATGAAATTCACTGGTTACCTAGAGTATACAGAGAACTGACATCTGTAGTGGGGTTAAACAAAAGTTGGAAGAATGATCATCCCTGCCCTCAATACACTTAGTAGAAATAAAACAAACACAACATAGACCCAGTATAACACAAAAATCAATATGTTAGACTGAGATTAAAAAAAAACTTGTAATTAAAGGGTACTTTTGCCAGTTTCCTTTATTATCATTCTCTTGGCCCAGAAATTTCATTTAGGTAATTCATCTAAACATTGAGTCCTCAGTTTTCTGAGTTTCCTCCAAATTTACAAGATACAGGGGAAAGAAGTAACAAAAGCCTGATGATCCTTTGTTGTGGTGGTTGGTTGTTTGTCTATGTGTCTACAATATATGTATATGCATATGTACATGATATAAATATATTTATCAGACCAACAACACTGTACTTTCAAGATCTTTATTATTTAAACTATTATTAATGCCCCCAGTTTTGGCATCTTTATTACCTACCATATCTCACCTTTTCCTTCATATTTAACCAGAATGAAGAAGAAAATCTTTAAAAAGGAAACCAAATATATCTGCCCTATTTTCAGCTCTTTCTTTTTCACATTTTGGAAGTCAAAACAAACCTTTTATTTCTTGTCATCAGAAAATCTCCAACAGGCCTAGGGCTGTAGCTCAGTGGCAGAGCGCTTGCCTAGCATGTGTGAAGCACTGGTTTGATCTTCAGCACCACATTAAAAAATAAATTAATAAACAATGATATTGTATGTCCATCTACATCTAAAAATATATTTTTAAAAAATCCTCCAAGAAGCTGGGTATGGTGGTGCATGCTTGTCATTCCAGTGGCTTGGGAGGTTGAGGCAGGAGGATCCTGAGTTCAAAGCCAGCTACAGCATCAGTGAGGCACTAAGCAACTCTGTGAGACCCTGTCTCTAAATAAAATACAAAATAGGGCTGGAGGTGTGGCTCAGTAGTCTAGTGCCTCTGAGTTCAATCCCAGTACCAAAAAAAAAAAAAAAAAACCCTCCAAGAACTACCACAGAAGAGCAAAATATTCCCCAGGCAGCTTGTCAAACATTTCAGAGAAAATACTTGTACCATTGTTTACTAGTTAGGAAGACAGAGATTACCCCTTTTTAAAAGATGAAGAAACAGATGCAAATAAAATAACTAGTGACAGAGCCTGGATTTCCTACCACACCAGGAGGCTTGCTATTACATCAGCCTCACTAAGTAATGCATCCACTCAGAACTATCAATTCAGTTAGAAACTGAATAGATAAATATATGGAAATGGAAGAGTTAGGGAAATATACAGTGCTATTGAAAAATACAACATAAAAACACTGAAAAGATGAAAATTAAACTTTCCAAAGCTACATAGAATTTAACAGGACCACTCCATTGGCAGGCACTGATATCTAGGCCTTGCCTATTTTGCTCTTCTGTAACAAGAAGCTGAAACAGATAGCCAGGCTGCTCTTGGCATTAGTTATTTATGGAAGAACAGAAAACAACTGTTCTTCATTAACTGTATAATAAACCTTTGCGTGCTAATCCTTATTCATAGGCTTGTAGAATAATAATTCAACTACAAGCAGTAGGACTTTATAATATTTGCCTAGACAAGTTATTGTTAGGGTCTGCCATTATCAAAACTTGTTTTTTTGCAGCACTAATAACCAGTACCAATACTGTCTTTAGTGGTGTGTCTGAAACAACTAGTGAAATCAGAAACCTAGGCAGATCTTACTGTGAATATAAATAACTTAAGATACTCCTTTCAAAAATGGACGAAGGAAGGGCTGAGTGTAGCTCAGTGGTAGAGCACTTGCCCAACCACACTTGAAACCCAAAATCAGTCTTCATCACCACAAAGGAAAAAATATAAAATGGTCAAAGGTGTAGTAGGTAGTCCTAAATATAAGTTTGGAGAAATGATTAATTTTTTTCAAACAAACATTTCCCTACATTCCAGTACATTTTACCAGTTTTAAAACTAATTTGAAAGACAAAAACTAATGGAAAGACACTAATGACCCTGAATGGGAAGATGCAATATTATAAAGAGTCAGGTCTTCCCAAATTAATCTATAAAGTCAGCGAAGTTTAAATCAAGATCCTAGCATAGTTTTAATGGGACTTAATTTCAGTCTCTCTCATGAAACTCATTCATTGTCTTTTTATTTTTATTTTTATTTATTTTTTTTTATTTTATTGTTGGTCGTTCAAAACATTACATAGTTCTTAATACATCATATTTCACAGTTTGATTCAAGCGGGTTATGAACTCCCAACTTTACCCCGTATTCATTGTCTTTTTAAAGCTAATTCCTATCCCCCCTAAATAAAATTCTCTGCAATTATCCTTGAAAATTGCCTTAGGAACCTTTTCAAAAAGAAAAAAAAAAATTCTATTGTCCACAAGCCAAAATGGAGTGAAATGTGCTGTGATTGGCATTAAAACCTGCAAGAATGTTACCTTATATGTTTGCCCACTCTTTGTAATGGTTCTGGCGTAGTAATGTTAGGAGAAATAATAGAGCATCAGCCTCGTATCTCATCCAAATCTTTCTTTCTTTCATATATAAGAATATTCCAATATGTGCCATTTTTTTAAATACTTAATTTTTAGTTGCAGTTGGACACAATACCTTTATTTTATTTATTTATTTTTATGTGGTGCTGACTGAAAGGATAAATGAAACTGAAGTTAAAATGTAAAGGACCGGGTATTGTAAAGTTTCTAAGCTGCAAAGCCTGAGTTAAAATGTAAAGGACCAGGTATTGTTAAGTTTCTATGCTACACTCAAAGCCTGAAATTCCTGTAGCTGTTAGGACAATTCCCGGTACTGCCCATTAAATAATCCCCCCTGACCACTTAGTTGTTTAACAACTTGGACCCTGTGCAGCTAGGCACGTAGGCACCTCAGAGCCCAAACCAATCAGTTTGAATGTATCCCCCTCCTTAGGAATGACCTATCACTCCAGCCCAACCTGTTCCCGCCAATGAATGTACTAATCATGTTTGAGAATTGTTGTTTGATTTTCCCGCAGTGTATGGTGATTTGTTGAAGGGGACTATGATGTATGTAAAGTCCCTGCCCTCCCTAAAGAAGTGTACTTAAGCACTGCTCAACCCCTGCTCGGGGTTCTTGGCCTCTCTCCCTTCTTGAGTGAGCACGGAGCCCCAGTGCGCTGGATCCTCAATAAACCCCCTTTTGCTGTTGCATGAGTCGGTCTCTTGGTGGTCTCTTCCTCCGTCGTTCGCCGGTCCCTTACACTGACGATTGAACCCAGGGCCTTGCACACACTAGGCAAGTGCTCTACTGCTGAGTCACAACCCCAGCCCCCCCCCAGTATGTGCCATTTTTAAAGACCAGTAAAATAACAAAAATTTTAAATGTTCCTTACCCCAAATCATCAACCACTAGAGCTGGGGGCCCGAGGAGCAGAGTAGCAGAGGAGAAACCATATGGGTTTTGGACTTAGGCCAGCCACCCTACACCACATTGCATGACTTCTTTCTTAACCTCAGCCTTTTCATTTGTAAACTGAAAAGAATAATGGTACCTTACTCATAAGGCTTATCTGAGGGAAAATTAAATGAAATTGTGCTTATAAAACACCTGATTTATGGCAAGTGTATAGAAAATGGTGGCTATTGATTACCAAGTTCAACCTCCTTGCTTTACAGATGGGGGGGGGGGCGGGGAGTAAATTACAACCAGAACAGTCTTTCCCCATATTCTTTTATTATCATATAACTCTCATTAAAGCTAAGGGCTAAAGTCCTTGAGAAGTGGTCTACAGCCACTTCATTCACTAAATCACTGTCTAATTTCCAAGCCAATCCTCATTCCCTTCAATCCTTCAATATTCCCTTATGCCTTCTATGAAATGGACAAATCCCATATTTATATCCAAATATTCACTCTACTTGAGCCTTCAGAAATATATTTAAAGCAATCCTTCTTCAAACTTAAATATTGTAATAAAACTGTCTGATTCATTTGGACTCTACATGATGCCTGGCATAAGCCAAGTTATTGTTATTCAAATAGAAATCTTAAACAACATGTTCAAATAATACAAGCCAACATTCATTAAGCATTTACTATATGCTAGCTTATACACCAAGCACATTGCATGCATTAGTTTATTTAACCCTCAGAAAATCCTGAGGTCAATACCATTATTATTTCACAGGAAAACATGCATATAAATGAATAAGTAATATTTTACACTTCCATCTCAATATCACATAAATACACCTAAAAGAGAAGAAAAATTTCATTTTGTAACATCTTACTTCTATATTAGATCAAGTGTGAACCCCTCTCATGAGATGACATTTATAGCAAATACTTTGAAGGTGAACCCATAGATTTTAAGGGAGTCATTTTTAGCTATTATGTACACTAATCCAGACCACCTATAAAACAACTTTCAGTATTTATGAAATAGTTAAGCAAATCTGATTTTGTCATCACAGGGCAAAGATTTAAGCAGGTGATCTAGATCAGTTTATGACTCAGTTTCTCTCTTTAGCTATATTGAGTTATGGTGAAAATTAGCCCCTATGTAAATAAAATGTAGTCCAGCTCTTTGTAGCTGTGTTGTCACTGTATATGGACTTAATAGATTCCTCAAATGATATTTATAAAGTAAACTTTCAAGAGCCTCCAACTCAGAATGTATGAGTGCCAGTTTCTTCATATCCTTGCCAAATGCCAAATTGGAATATTAACAATTTAAAAATATTGCCAATCTGATAGGCAAAAAAATGCTACCTCATTGTTGCATAATTTGCTTTCATTAAAAAATGTTTAATAACATTCTATATCTGTTTATAAAAGTAATAATTACTCATTGTTGCAAATATGGAAAACACAAAAATATGTAAAGAATGATTTTTAAATTTACACTTCTAGCACCCTGAGGACAGCTGTTAATATTCTTGTTTTTCTGGGGGGGGGTGTACCAGGGATTAAGCTCTGGAGCACTTGACCACTGAGCCACATCCCTAGCCCTATTTTGTATTCTATTAGAGACAAGGTCTCACTGAGTTGCTTAGCACTTCATTAAATTGCTGAAGGTGGCTTTGAACTCAAGATCCTCCTGCCTCAGCCTCCCAAGCCAAGCCACTGTGATTACAGGCTTGTGCCACCATGCCAAACAAAACTGTTA